AGTTTACCAGTCCTAATGTCCAATCGCAGAGGAATACCCCACGAACAGCGTTAGGAGTCTTTCAGATCCATAAGAGGCGGTTTCTTAGTCAACCATTGAAAGTCTCTCTAAATTGGACTACTGCATAAGGCCGAAGTTTCGTGCTGGCATTACTGTTCCCTAATATAGAGATCGGTAAAAAAGAAATAAAGCAGACTGGAAAACAATGTATGTATGAATGTAAAGTGTATAAATCAAACACATTGTACCTGAATCGGGAAGCGAATTTAAATCACCGCATATAAGCACAGGCGTCTGCTGGGGTGTTATTCGAAATTGCTCAGCGACCTGAAATATGTGCAATGAAATAATACCATTACTAATTCAACGAAACCACAATCACTGATCAACGCCTAGAAGATACTAGGAGACATGAAGCGCAAAATTAGAAGCGGCTGGCATTTTGAGAGACCTGCAGATCATATGAGCCGCAGTCTACCGACCGCGTAGGACCTCGCACCCGCAATTCGACTGCAGCTTTCCCGTCTCTTTGGTTTCCTTTCTAATGATGTGTTAGATTTCTGAGTTACACGAAAAGTTTTTTTTTTACTTCGTACACGAGAAGTTTCTTTTTACTTCGTTGAATAAGCTTCTTAACGTGTTTTTTGCGGGGAAGGAAGATCGCAGAACGGGAAACCTGGGCAGGATTTGATGTGTTAACCTTTTCCACAACGGTAAGCCTTTTCCGAAAAAGCACTAATCATTTCAATGGATTTGTAGATATATAACCCCAAAACGGATAATTGCAAAATATACACTCAACACCACTGTTAAGCGTACCTCCTCAAGTAGTTTATACAGCTCGTGCGCCAGCATCATAGTCTGAACCAGCTTGACGTCGCAAAGTTCAGGATCCCAATGGATATGAGCAGTGCAAACAACAAGCGGTGAACCAACGACATTGTCTGCTGCAGCCATCGTCATGCGTCCTTAAAACATGAGTAAGGTACGCCTTTTTGATTGAAGCAATTCAAATAAAGAAAAGTTGGATCAGAAATTACGCGATCTCGGATGTGTGTAGTGGATGCCAAATATACTCACTGTTATTGTAGACGTTCTCCTTGATCCGGAGAACAGCACACAGCGCGATGTTATCTCGAGGCATAACCCGGTTGAGCATATGCTCCGATGAGGCGGCTTTCTTCACAACAATTTGCGTAAACTCTATGAGGTGCTCTCGCTCAATCTCAAACCTGACAAAGTTATTGTTATCAAACCTTAGCCTTATTATTATGTATATATTACTGATTATGGCTAAGCAATTGTTCGGATTGCTTGACATATAGGGCTGTTTGACCCTTACGAGTGAAAAGCAGTTCCGAGTTTCACGCTGCAAAAATAAAATCAACTTACTTTTCCGATTTCCAGAAGATTGCACAGCCATCCACGTACTTTCGATCTTCTTCATTCATGGTCTTTGCGCGAGATTTTGGAGAAAAAATCCCTGTGTACCCTAACACCTTCAATTCCGGTTGAAACAATAGACGAAATTGTTCCGTTTCGACTTCCTGAAAGGAATGCAATCAATCCAGTGATCATATTATTGTAGGTAAGGTAGGCGAAGTCATATTCAGGAGAGTCCACGACAAATAAGGCACGCCTTTCAATGGTGAAAATGAAAGAACTATTACCAAGAAAATCAACAAAAATCATTGAAGCGAAAAAAATAATGCAGCTTCTATAAACCATGGGCAGGATTGGCCTGCCTTACTTCCTGCCATTAACACCCCTCCCTCCAATTGTTCTCTATTAGTAAAAGAGTGGACCGTGCTTCACACCCCTCCTCACCGCTGCGTCAAACATTCGACCTAGAGACTGTCTTCTTTAAAATAAGAGCGGGTAAGTTTAACCCTCTCGACCTGTGGTAATTATCTGGAATCTCTTTCGAAAATCTCCTTTGCTAAACAAACCTTGAGTAAAGGATTGGAATGACAACATACTTTTGCTTCGATTTTGCTAGTGAGAGCGAGGGCGAAAAGCCTACGTTCGCTTTGAAGACTTATTGTCACATATTTTTCCGGGCTCGTAATGAAAAGAGTAAACCCCAACACCCGGCCTATAACAAGCTGCAACGGAGAGATGCCAAACCCGGAAGAGTATCCAAGATCTCAGAAGCTATACGCGCCACTCATCGGCTCTCCTCGCGAAATTGCAACCCTTTTTCCTTCCGGCCAGAAACTCCCTCCTCTTGAACGGCCTCCGCAAACAGCAAACGCTTCGTCACACCCATCTCGCCAATGAAAGACAACGTACTTCAGGCTATGAAAAACCTAAAAAACAAGCAAAGACCCATCCGTGTCGAACAAAATTACGCCATGCATGCATTGTAAAAAAAAAATACCTGTAATGTGATGATGTCTGCCTCGTAATTTCGAATTTCTTTCATAATAGACATCTTTCGGTACTCCCAATTGAGAGCCCATGATGGGCAGTAGGAATATTGGTTGACAGTGGCATATTTATCACATAGCACGTTGTAGCACAGCACAGTAAAAGTAGCTGAAAATATTATTCTAAGATTAGACCGTCGAACAACAAAGAGACAAAAGTCAAACTTTGAAAAGACAAAAAGCAATAACACCACAGTAACGGTGAAAAATTACAAAAAGGAAGAAAAATTTGTAAGAAATTAGCTGGCAAAAAAACTTGGTGTGAAACAAGCTACATTGCCGGCACACAGGATCGACTTTTTCGAAAAATTGATTCCTATTATCATTTCTTCTACCCACCGCTTCAACGTAATACACCACTTCTGGAAGGACATAAGTGGACAAGAGAAAATGAATTCGGCGTTGCTTCCCCCACCCCCTTACATTTCCTTTTCTTATCAGATGAGAGCGCATAATCATAATACGTTACAGTTCATGCAGAACTGCTAATTAAACACGACAATTAATTTTCTTATTAGCGAACCTTTTTGTCCAAAATTGTCTAATCAAATGATTAGGGTTGGTATTCATTCAGTTTCCGCACAACAAAATCGCCCTTTTCCTAGTAACTTCAAATCACCACACGTGGAATACCTCAAAACTTCTTTGTTAGACTTCCTTTTTGTGAAATTCCATCTATTTCGAGTTGTCGTTAACATCATGCTCTCACTTGATGTAATTAGTAGGAGTGACTGGCACCTCTACCTCTGATGTTTCTTGTTTAGAAGGGATGCAATCATGTCCCGCTATCTATGATGGGACACCTTAAGAGCGGACCTGTAAAGATTGAACGCATTTTACGTTGAAATATAAGAACCATAGACCGTGAGCAAGATCATGATTTTGAATGCTCCCGAACGGATGATTTTCAATTTTTTGACGATGTACTATTGCATATGCCATCTGCTTACGTTGCTGATTACGAGTAGTCTGATAAAAACGCGGCTAGCAATAAAGCCGGTTTTGTCATGTTGCTCGCGATTGTGGACCGCTCCTCTTACAGTGTTTAGCCATTAGCTGTCCGCGAAAACCGGCCCCGATAGAACGCGCAACTTACAATCGTGTCGCTTCCCACCAGGCATGATCTATTGCGAAAAATGAATGAGACTGATATAATGTGTCATTCGTTAGATGAAGCAATGAAGACACTGCGAAATCGTAAATACTCTAGAACTATCGAATTCCACAACAACTGCAGATGTCGGATTCAAAGAAGTTGGCCACTTCAATGCAAATGAAAATCAGCCTCGTTTTGAAATAATGTGAATTATTCGCACCAATTGAAACACAAAATCAATGTAACAGCAAACGAAGAAATCCAAGAATCTAACAGAATAACAGGAAAAATGTGAACGACAAAAAAGAAGTCGTTACCTATAGGTCGGTCGGGATCTGCGTGTCGGATCATCACCCATTCCCGCTCAGGCGGCGGTGCGGTGTTAACTTAACAAAAGTTGTTACTGTACCATTCCATTGACATTCTCAATACATAATACGAAATCTATGTTTAAAAAAATATTTCATCCTTAACACCACACTGGTATACAGCGACATGGCCTTAGATTGATCCTGAAGCGTCGACTACCTTAATGATGACTAGAAACACTACGTATAATTCTTCATAATGATTCGATCAGTGAGCGCACTTTCTGAAAAGAAAAACAGACGCACGCGTCGAGGGATGATGGGTAATGGGTGCGCGAACACTAAATTTATTTTTTAAGAGAGAAAGTTTCTTGCAAATCTAAGGCATATTGCACACACTCGAGGAAACCGAAATAAGCGAAAAAAAATTTGGGTGCTCAGGAAGTTGAAGGGAGCACGCACGGGCGCACCGCTCTGCTCTTACAGTGCTCTCTCGAGCGTGATGGCATTAAGCCTTAGCCTGAGAAGGGATGGATGGGTTTAAACAGTATGATTTGTGATTTTTCAAGGCCAATGCGCTAGAGGAGCACCAGGAAGACCACTGCGAGGACGCGTAGCCTTCCCAACCCATTAGCACCAGTCTTCTCTCTCTCAATGAACCATATCAACTGAGAGCGTGTTTGTTGCAAATTTAAAACAATACGAAACGAAATTCCAATCAAATTCGAGCCAGCAGACTGTTGACAAGACAAGATCAGAGCTGCGTAAACCTTTGAAAATCATCTTCCGAAGCAGATTTTTCATGGGCAATTCGCGCATGAATTTAGGGAATGCTGCTCAGAAAAATTGATGAACCTGAGAATCTATCAAAACAAGCGAACAAAACAAAGAAAGGAACCATAGATAAATGTAAGCAAGATGCTCACCACAACAAAGGCCGCGTCAACGAAAAATTATTCAAAAACGCAAGTGACTGATTCATCATTACACACCACAACAGACATTATATTATTTCCGAAAAGATCACTCTTCACGTGTATTTTCTCTTCATATGTTTTCTCACAAAAATGAGGGAAAAGCGATTGGCTTCAGTCCACAAACATTCTGATTTGGTGGAACGATGTATATAATTTTCGCTCTTTGTAGCCTGATTTCTCACTTCACCCTTTAAAACAGCATTTGATGCCGCTTAAGTGGTAAAAAAATCACATAAACACATACCGCACGATGGAGGAACTTACCAGAAAAATCACTTCGCTTTGCTATTCCAGGCTGAAGAAACAGATGCAAGGAAAGTGTGTTAGTGTCCGCAGATGATTCAAGAACTTCTGTAGAAGCATGTTTTGATGTCCTCTTGGATGTGAAAGACAATTCCGTTTCAACCAATGAAAGAAGGTCGCCTAGATCTGAGGAAGGGGTGAGCGATTTCGAAGTCTTTCCTGTCTCTTGATGCGATGATCGGCCAATTGATGTTTGACTGTGGGGCGATTCTGAAGCAACTCGACATACCGAGAAACTTGCACGAGTTGCGTACTCGATAGAAGCAGCACTCATAAAAAAAGAAGCCTCGAACGACGTTACAGAGCAATGCTCGACTCCATCCCTCCAGTAAGGCTGTGGTATCCAATGTGATATGGAATTGCAGAGATGCTCAGCGTGAGGCGTTTCCCGATGCTTCAGCAGTTCAACTGCGCTACTGGATAGGTCGAGATCGTCAAACATGCAAGATTCTTCAGGAGAGTCAAGAAATCCCGAGCGTGCTGCAAAAAGTCGTTGATTATATCTTCGTTGCTGCAGTTCCGCCCACCTTTTGGCCCGTCGAGCAAAGCGCTTTCCCGTTCCTCTTCCTGAGCAAGCGTTTCTGCTCGCTCCGTTCACATTTTGTTCCAAAAACGGATCTCCTCTTTCCGAACATTGATTAGAGACTCCATCGGACATAATATGTATGACGGACGATTTTAGCACATTACTGACGAGTTGATGCAGAAATATACCAATTCAGATGGGAAGGATTATCAGACGAAGGCTCGTAAGAAGCTAAGGCTACGACTGAACTGCGTAGGTATCGCACCACATGGGCGGAAAAGGGGCGTGCTATGGAGTGCGTTCGCGATGGATGATCCAACGTGCGAGACGGACGAGCAAGCGAAAGTTTGAGGACACCCAAAAAACGATGCGATTCCATTGAAAATTTTCCAAAAAATAACAGAATTCAAGCAAATGCGAGGCTATATGAGACCTCAGAATATTCACAAGCAGCGAGTTGAAACGGAAACACACGCGGAATGGAACAATGTAAGATTTCGGAGTTAAGAAGCAAAGCAAGTCTGAACATGGACAGTACTTACTGAAGAACGGGAACCGGAGACCAAGATATAGTCAGGGACAAGACAAGAACTGGTATACTTGAGCCCTCATCTTCTACGACTATGTAAGCGAAGTTCTTGCCGTTTTCCATACTTCAGATTTCAAGACATAAAATTGGAACAAATTTTTGGCAGACTATTAAAACTTGCATATTATTAGAAGATTATTACGGCTCTATCCAGAGTACCGTCAACATTACTCGAGTACTGCTGCTCCCACTCTTTCAAAGCCTTCAATCAACACGATTTTCTTTTTCGTAAAGGGGAGAAAAGGCGAATCAGCATTAGTGATTCGGCCTCGATTTAGAAAAATGCGCTGTGCAGGGATAGCTTGGAAAGCTTGTTATAGGGATGGCAAGAACTCGAAGGTGGTGAAGGTGGTCGTTGGACAATGAATGTTGTTAAGAATTGGCTGAAAGATTCGATGAAACAGAACAAATTTTCTTTAGGAGTGTGAAAAGCGACGCTAATGTCAATCAGCCACATGGAGAAGGTAAAAATAGTCGAAAATGCGATTAAGGGTGCCCACAAATTGGTCGGGCGTCGCTTTTTTACCTTTTTTGCCAAGCGGCAGCTTTTTCAATCAAATTCAACTGGTACTCCATGGAGAATGGATTCTTTTCAATAACCTGTGAGCTCGGCTGATAGGAGCGATCACGATTAGGTCAGCAAAACTCCGCAAAGGTGAAACTACATGGGGAGATGGCTGTGCTGCCTGCGCGGTCTGCAGCAGGCGCAGACCAACTCTGCAAAACATTGACAGCTGGAGTACTGAATTATACTTCAAATGCTTAAACACTCATACTTCTTTTCTAATCACTGCCACTTGGAAAGCGCCTCTAAAGAGAAACGTTACGAAATTTATTATGATGATGAAACGACCTTGTATTCATCGCCTCGAGAACTCCAGCACCGGCAGCGAACAGCTTGGTCAAACCCATTAAATGTTAGCAATGACTGGTAAATTGTAACGGTTTTTAACACGTTGACGACATCGCGCGTTTTGGGCTTTTTGCACCTGTGAGACAAAGAGCGATTTTGCGAGCGCAGCCGCCGCACACCAAATCCATTGATTTTAAGTTGCGATGAAATGTTTTCAAAGATGTTCGATTTGTCTAGCTTATCAAGAGTTAATGTAATGGAAAATTAACCGAAATGACGTGTTAAGACCATGTAAAATGAATGTTATTAATTTCCTTTAAAGGAGGAATTCACGATTAGAATGAAGGTCGAAGAAAGGGAAACTGACCTAGTTGAGGGACCCACGGACCTCCTGAGGGTGCGAACTGACGCGCAATTCGCATGGAAAAATTTGACCTCGGCGACCTATCATGCCTCAAAGCTGGCGGGTCCGGCGATCTCCGCCCACCGATCATCTGATCACTCGCCGTAGTTCAATACGTGGCGAGTGATTAGATAGCTGAGAGAGCGTAGTGTTGAAGAGGGCACAGCGATGAGAGTCGCATCAATGCTCGAATCAACGGGCAAGGAAGGGGTACCATTTCTCGGGTTCTGGGCCGTTTCTCATGGTTCTTCCTTCTTTCGTGTACCACTCACCATCCCTAGGTTAATTTGAAATGGGTTGCTTTTTCATCGTGAATTCGTCCTTTAAGTGGTTCCAAAATTAATTTGGACGTGGTTGTTAAAGTAAAAACACATACCTTCCCATACGAATAGGTTTGTATTCACTTCTGTTATTCCTTTTTATCAACATGTCTACGTTATTGAAAAGAAAACGAGGAATGAATGAACAGACATCCATAAGGTCTGGAAAACGTCTGCCAAACTAAAGAATATTTGGCCTTTCTGTGAGCCATGTGGTTTTTAAGTATGCTAATGTATGACCTATAGAATGAGTACAAAGACCTTAGGAATAAGTCGCACAAGCGCAAGAAAAAGGGATGACTTGGGTGGGACGCGTTACCGCGTCACAATGTCCCACGAGGTGCGCAAAGTGGGACGCGTTACCGCGTCACGCTGTCGTCAACGTGTTAAAACACGCAAAGTTGCGTTAGAGTCGAGATAATAAACATTTTAACTTCAAGGTCCGATAAGAACTTTACTTAAAAACCTAATTCTTCACTATCATCTACCACGCCTTTCACTCCACCCGCATCTAATGGTAAGAAAGGTTGGCATTTTGGAGCTCTCCTAAGGTCACTGGAATTCAGCGATCTCCTTTAGATACTTGTAGAGGGCAACTACCTCATAGACACTTTCCCCATGCACATCACCCTGAATAGGAGACATCATCATGGAGATAGTAATAAGTCGTGGCAGAGCAAATCAAATTTGTGGGAAAATTGTTGAGACGAGCGACACTTCAACAAAAAACTTTGAAAACCTTGAAACAGGGAGCGAACAACGAGCCGTAGCTCTGGTCAGGTAGAACTCGTGCTCTTTGAATAAAAAGTTAATGAAGCTGCGCCGAGTTCAACATCGTGACAGGAAACACAACTCACTTGCTAAATGATCGTGAAGGAAATGCAGTAATTTGTGTGATCCATTGCTTTCGTGATAAATTTTATTAATTTCAGGAGACAAAGGGTTTCCTTGTAATCCTGAAGTGACTGAAGCCCATATATAGGAAATCACAACTTGAAGTAAAGACAACTGAATTACACATCAAAACATCCAATCGGTTTTTGTCAGTAAGGTCAACATGAACACTGTCAAGGGAAAGGTTGTGGATTACAGTGTTGTTTTATGAAAGAAAAAAAAAGCGAAGAAGGGTGGAAGAAGGGTGGAAGAAATACTTCGTGAGTCGCGAGTTAAACCAGTGCGTGATAGGGAGAATAGTAGAGATTAGGGTTGTACTTCAAAGAAATAGAAACCACGAGAAACTTTGATCCACAATAAAAAAACACCTACCCAATGTTTGTATTCTGAAAAGCTTTCCAAGTTCGTATGGCAGAACTCGGAGCTGGTTATGGTTAAGATAGAGGTGACACAAAGATATCATATCTCCAAGCTCTGCAGGAAGGCTCCTTAGCTTGTTGTGAGATAGATCCAACATTGTCAAATTCGTTAACTAAACAGAAATATCATAAATATAATATAACCTATCAATCACCATATCAAGCTGGCACAATGCACATATCAATAGAAAGAGGCTAGTAAAAGAATAGCGACCTACCTGTGATATTTCAGGTGGAACACGCGTCAACTGATTGCCATTGAGAAATAGTGCGGATAAGTGACTCACTTGCCATAATGCATTTGATAGGTTACGAACTCTACCTGAACAAAAATGTTGAGCAACTGAACCGTAGCTTGATTATCTGCCCCCTCAACTATTGAAAACAGTCATGCGTGTGTCGAGGAACCCCTTACAATGCGCAGCAATTGGTCCGGTGGGACAGCCGGGGTCATGAGCGCCGGTTTAGGAGTGAACAGATGAGTGATAGCTTGCTCGAGAAGGGATGAAACCGCGTATCGCTATATGTCGAGCGCACGGCGCATCCCTGAATGGAATCGATCAATGCCTCATGCCTCAGTTCCTGCTCCTTGCGAGTGAAGTGTGAGCTTGACAGATCAAAATGCTTCCGAAAGGTTTCACAAGAATGCTGGGTTGTGAACAAAACTTTCGCCCCAGGCGGGACTAGAACCCGCACCTCTCGCTTTCCGGGCAAGTGCGCTACCAGTTACGCTACCGGGGCACCATTTCATTCCAACTCAGCTTTTCATGGTATACGTACCATAGCTTGTCAGCACTATAACATGTTGAGTGTTTTCACAACCCAGCATTCTTGTGAAACATTCGCAACGCGAACTGCGGCGTTAAAACAGCAGTTAACAAACAAAACAAGTCAAAATTCATTGCTAAAGCTTTCAGCCTCGCGGTCATTGCCGATATCGGCTAACCGGCTCAACACGTTGAGTGCTGACAAGCTATGGTACGTATACCATGAAAAGCTGAGTTGGAATGAAATGGTGCCCCGGTAGCGTAACTGGTAGCGCACTTGCCCGGAAAGCGAGAGGTGCGGGTTCTAGTCCCGCCTGGGGCGAAAGTTTTGTTCACAACCCAGCATTCTTGTGAAAGGCGAACTGCGGCCAAAAACAGCAAACAAAACAAGCTTCCAGAAAGGTTCGTGTAAAACGGCATGAAGGATTACACTGTTCAGGACGAAAGATGGTATTCTGCCTTAACTTTACGAACACATATTTTTTGATACGGAACATTAAAATGGATGTTTGCGCTCAATTCAAAAGATTGCGTGTGGATTCCATATTCTGCTTAGTTTTTGTACAAGTTTATATTATGGCTCCCCACTTCTTCACGAATTGGGCGCCCGCGGAACCGGCCGAGATATGCGCACATCAGCTTGCTGAGTATTCGACGTTACATTACCGCATTCAGCTTGCCTGAGTATTCGACGTTACATTGCGATACGTAATGTAACGTCGAATACTCAGGTAAGCTGATGGGCGCATACTCGGCCGGGTTTGCCGCGGCCGCGCCCCAAATCGTGAAGAGAAAGTGGGGATCCCTATATGTAGTGGGAAAAATAAAGCATAATGTCGTTGAAAGTTGCGACAGCGCGACCAAAAAAATACTCCCCTAGGCTACTCTAGCAAGAATCTTCAACAGAGGTTACTTTTATATGTGTTAGTCAGCGAATTGACTGATTAAAATAAAAGACCACTTTATTTCACAAACACCTAACTCTTTCTCTCTGGTAAATGAATAAAAAGCTATCCGAGGAGTTACAGCGACGACTGCGCATGTCAACTCTGCGTACATGGACCACGGATGATTCAAATGCTGACATCGCGGCGACCTAATCGCGCGATCCGCGCGAATGGTCGCGCGATTGGCCACTCTTCACCAGACGCAAAGAGGGCGTCTCCGCCCCCCCCCAATGCGACAGCGACGATTTTTACGCGAATTGCCGCCGTAATTGCGTGGTTGGACCGTATTTTACCATGATTCTACTAAACGACACTAAACTTTCCATTCAATTCCATTAGTACCCCTCAATGTCGTGAACATCAAAATTGAAAGATTGTAGAGCATTATACAAATAACTCTGTCGAGTTCAAAATATTGTATCTCGAGAAGAAGATAATCGCGTATGCAAACCCTTATAGTCATTCGCAGACGTAAGTGTTTCTTGCTTCTTAATTTCATTATGCGCTCCTTCCTGTAACAATATCTACTGCCATTTATATAGTTAACCTTTATGCTTTCATCCTTGCCGAAAAAAAATTCTATGAGATTCGAGCTGTTGTGAATTTTCAACAAAAAATAAGCGGAAGTAAGGTGAGGACGGCGCGCTCACAAAATAGCTCCTGTCCTCACGCGGTGCAAATATGCCAAACACACGCGCTGTCGTCAAATACCGTTACAACATTATCCATTAATGAGACTCAACTGATTGGTCCGCATCACTCATTTCCAAAATTTCTGAAATTTCAATTTCTTTCCTTACCGTGAATTTGGTCAAAGTCCCAAATGGAAAGCTGTTTACAACAACAGAGGCAAAGGAAGGTTACCGCAGTAACGCCGAGCAAAGAAAAAAAAACTAATATCTGGAATGCTACTCAAGTGAAGTTGGCGCCAAACCTTTCCTTCCACGGCCAAAGTTTCGCTGACGGTCCAGCATCAGCTCATGAATACATTATTAGCCTGGTTCAATGTCCGCAGATCCGTCGCATGCTTTCGCATGATATTCGCAGATGTCCGCGATTACCGACAGGGAGTCGCAAAATTTCGAACATGACGATGGTGAACATTCGGGAACACACGATATTAAACCAATTGATATCCATGGCAACTAGCGCTCGATCAGCCCTCACATCAAGCGAGAAAACGCGAGATTTGAAGAACCGAGTATTGATCGGGCACTTTGATGCCGAACCCGTGCTGATGAATCGCGCAAATCGCAATGATTCGCCGAAAATCACGAACTGTCATCGGATCGCGACTCTGACATCAGCCTACTATTAAACCTCATCACAAGGCAAAGTGATTGAGCTTGAAGATCGGTTGACCAGCACAAGAAGAATGAATCAAATTGTAACTAAACCGATCTTGCAATCACAGCATGGTCCAATTCATAAGCATTTTGATAGCATCCCACCCGAAGCAATACTCCATGAATAGATGCTATGCCTTCTCTAAATAGAGTATGAGCAAAAATTATCCGCCGTTTTCATTTCACTCATAAGTTTATTAAAAAAAAAACCAAAAAACAACAATAAATGCGCAATCAACAAAGGCTCTCGAACAGTCTTCTCTGCAACCGTGCCTTCATCCCAGGCTTCATTGATTCTACGAGCAGATGCAGAAGCATTCGGTTTCGAGCTCAACTTGCACTCATGTAGCATGAGCAATCTTTTTTGCTCGCGTGTAAGCTCCAGAGTGAAGCAAATACACAAGTGTTGTACATCAAAATGTACAAGAGATTGCGCGCTTTCAGACTACATCATAATCTTCGGAAATAATCAGGAAAAATTAAAAAGCCATCAGCTTGGGAAAACGGCGGATAATTCGTGCTCAACTTAATATTTCATTAGTACGCATGAGGAGGGCCCGCACTCGCCTCAAGTTGAGGGAAGCAGAAACCCACATAAAAAGTTTAAGCTGGCGATGAAGCACAGTGGTTTTCTTGTAAGGTCCACGAAAAGCGTTTGTTCACACATCCTGCATACCGATTTCAGTTGCATAGTCACCGCAGAACCACAAAACCGTAACAAAACTTTACAAGACATAAATTCCAAGCTTATAACTCTTAGGCGTAGCGGCGAGAGCAGACGTACATAGAAAAGAGTAGAGCAAGTGTTAGATTTAGTTCAAAGACTTCAGCCGAGCTCTAACAAAATTTTGGGCTTGAATAGCTTATGGTGTGTTCATAGTTTGCGACCTTTTGCAATTCGGATGTGGAGTAATTGCGCACGCGTCGTGTGGTCGCATTAGCATACGTACCTACTCCACAGTCGAACTGCAAACGAAGTGCAAGGCACCACAAAATATGACCTCACCCTTAGGAATGTCACAGTATGTCTTGAGCTCTGAAAATGAATCCGAGTTGGAGACAATTCATTCTGGACATTGTGATATGGTAGCATTACAAGACAGCCTACTGTACACGTTATGAGAACTTCAGGGCCACCATGATAAGAGCCAGGTTCTGATAAAGGTCATATATTGGAAGAACAATAGAATGCTGAGTTAAGGGCAAAATAGTTTAAGTGGTAGTGGTTTTAGAGCACAAAATAGGAG